AAAAAAAAACGAGAGGTGTTTATATTTTTCAATCTCGTAAATTTAACTCTTATTGTTGATTTAAAAAATGACTTTATTCTATTTTTTATTTTCAGAGATGATTTTCGAAACTACGCAAACATTTGTTTCAAATACTTTGGAAACAGAGTGAAACGTTGGATCACTCTAAATGAGCCATGGGCTTACAGTAGGGAAGGTTATTCAGTTGGGATGTTTGCACCAGGTCGATGCTCTGAAACGGTAGATTCAACTTGTCTCGGAGGTGATTCAGGAACAGAACCTTATATTGTTACACATCATCTACTGCTTGCTCATGCAGCTGCTGTAGATCTGTACAAGAAAAAGTACAAGGTTCTTTTAATTAGTCCTTATCAGAACTTTTAAATCTTAATATATTTCATTAAATATTTCGACATTAATTGGTACGAGGATTCATACATTTGGTACTATTATTTTTCTAAGATAATGTTCGAAACACTTTATCCAGGATGATCAAAACGGAGTGATAGGAATAACACTTATTTCTCGTTGGTTTGAGCCATATTCAAATACCGAAGCAGATAAAAAAGCTGCTGAACGAGCACTTGATTTCTTGTTTGGATGGTAAGTGTTCAATGAATTTCTATTCTCTTCTGGATTTTTCTGTCTTATTCATCTACTATGCTTTTAAAACGTGTTTGGAATTTGATTATAGGTACATGCAGCCATTGACATCAGGAAAATACCCAGAGAGCATGCGTTATTTAGTTGGAAGAAGATTGCCAGAATTCACAGCAGAAGAATCAAGACTTCTGGCTGGTTCATTTGATTTTCTAGGGTTAAACTATTACACCACTAATTATGCCGCTGATCAACCTTCATCCAATCTCAACCCTAGTTATGAGACAGATGCCAATGTCAATTATTTAAGTGAGGAAACATCTGACTATCAATTATTTATATTATATATGTTAAATCTCGTAATTAATATAACATTTTCTTTTTGTTTCCATTGGCCAGCTGAACGCAATGGTATTCTAGTTGGTACACCGGTGTGTATAAAATCATTGTCAGATTTTAAATTCATATTATTATTATTATTATTTTATTCGGTTTTATATAACTTCATATTCATATTTTTCTACTTGCAGACGGCTTCTAATTGGTTATTTGTATGCCCCAAAGGATTTAAAGACTTGTTGCTCTATGTTAAAGAAAAGTACAACAATCCCTTAATTTACATTACTGAAAATGGTATAATTTTTATCATCTTTGAAATATTGTCTGATAAAATATTTCTTTTATAACACATTGATATATATTGTTTTGAATTGATAGGTAGGGGAAATGATGTGAATGATGAAGGACAAACACGCGAAGAAGCTCTACTAGATATTTATAGAATCGATTACTATTATCGTCATTTGTATTATCTACGTTCAGCAATGAGGTAATAATTTATTTTTGACATATTTTAAAAAATAATTTGAAGTGTAATTTAAATTTGTTTGATTGAGCAGTGAGGGAGTAAACGTAAAAGGATATTTTGCGTGGTCACTATTGGACAATTTTGAATGGAAGAATGGTTATTTAGTTGGATTCGGACTAAACTATGTTGACAGAAATGATGGCTTGAAGCGATATGCCAAACTCTCAGCACGATGGTTTAAGAATTTTCTTCAGAGGCCAGATCCAAATCCAAATTAGAAGGATAATAGCATCTGTAGCAGACATATGTTACAGTCTCAAACTCTCTTATGTCATGTTGCTTATTTAATAAATTTCAATAAATGGGTGTGCCTTTAAACTTTTTATAATGAAATGTACCTTTCAATAATTTTAGTAATAAATTCCTGCCTGCTTGTTTTTTAATCAAAAAAGAAAACTTATTGATTTAATTATTATTATCTATCATATTTCATTACAAGAAAAATTGATAATTTTTTTTGTAATATAACTAGTAAATAAGAATAATTCGCAATTTAATGACTGCCAAAACTCCTTCTTTACCACCTCATCTAAGATGTTACTAACATTTTATCAAATTGTTAAATTATAATCAAAATTTAACTATGAACAAAAATATCAAAATCTTTATTTAATTTCAAAATCAAACTCAAAATTCAAAATATAATTCATCAAATAAATCGATTATAAATATAATTGTCCAAGAAAAAACTCTATTTACTAAAACTTCAACACATCTCTTGTATGCATCTATATCTGTATTTGTATTATCATTGCTTTTCGTATAAAAATATGATTATCACAATTACACAGACAAGGATGAACTAACATACAAACATTGTGTCTTTTATTTTTTTTCATCCATAATGTCAACCCAATGATGTGTCCTAACGATCCCATCTTATGTAGCATTATCATTAAATTCTTTATTATCTCAATTGTTATACTACAATCCTATCATATCAACAACATCACTACTTAATAAGTCTATAACGAGAAACATAACAAACCATACTTTTCCTTAAAACAGAGTGAGCAATTAGTGTTAGTACCAACCATTTTTATAAACATATGTCATATTTTATATACTTCATCGTACCATTCGTGTTTATCAAAATAGGATGATTCGAGTCATCAGCTATCGCAGTTATCGTAGCTTCGAACTTATCTTCCTTGCTCCTCAAGGATTTATAAGTGAAAACTTTGATGCTTCTCCCATCGACACTACACATGACCTAATTTGGAGCCCTATGGGTGTGACATTCATTGCTTTCGACCCTCTCGAAAGAGAGCACTTGAATCTTAGTCTCTTCTACCGCTCATCATGGACGAAGAGACTCGTCTCTTCTATTATCTTTTAAAGACAAAAGAGATTCAGCTTTTTAATATTTCATGAGAGAAAAGATACAAACTCAAATTAAAAAAATATAAACAAAAAACATAATTAAGGGCATAAACACCTGCCTACCTCGTGTTGGATTCAATATCATAATATTCTTGTTAAGCTAAATCATGATCACAGAAAACCATTACCACATCTCAAGATAATAAATACAACCACACATACACATACAACAAATTTCTAACCACACCCTTTTTTTTCCAACACACTCCTACCAAATGTTGAAACCCTACCTACCTTTCCAAAGTGGACCCCACACCTTCCTATATGTTTCTCGTAATTGATAATTCCATTCATCTCATTTCATTCATACACACTTTAAAATTAGTAAAACTATATCATTTTTAAATATCTGGAAATATTTATACGTATCCACATTTTTTAAAAGATTCACAGATTTTTTATGTAGATATCCAGCTAATTACGAATCAGGTTGCAGATTATTTTTTTCGTGGAAGTCGAATTGAGAATAGATAGTTTCTATATCCGATCTTTTATTATCTCTCTAGTTGTAAGTAATATTGATTCTCTTATAATGGTAACAAGACTTTAAAATTATTTATGCTTAATAAAATAAAGTGAAAATAAATGATAACAAAAAATATTGATTCTCTTAATGGTAATGTGACACTCGAGTACTGACGAGAATGGAGAATAAATCGTCGGTGTAAAAGACATAGTATAAGAGGTATTGACTATAAGTATGAGATTATACAGTTGAAGAAAAATTTCGTGGTAATCTGTAGAGACAGTCGATGGTTCCTGTAAATTATGGAAAGGTAAGAAGACTTTAAAATTATTTATGCTTAATAAAATAAAGTGAAAATAAACGACAACAAAAAAAGTCGTGCTTAATTAAATCGTTTTGGAACTATTTTACCACGTGACTAGTTAACATTATTCTAACCTTATCTAGATAGAGTGCCACATTTAAAAAATGTCTTTTCTGATACTGAGATCGCATCTCCAGTCTCCTATCTTGACTTTCGTGCGGAAACGACAGAATTTCTAATTTTATATACTTGGGTAATTTCGAAAACAAATAATGTTTAGCATTTTATTCTTATATAGAATTATTATATAGCATTTCGACTTGTAAAATTTTCGAATTGAAATATACAGATATAATAATATTTAAAATTTTAGATCTTAAATAAGATCGTGAATTCTAAACTGAAAATAAATGTTTATCTTAAAATATATAAAAGATTAATAAGAGTACGACTGTTATTTGAATTTATACTAAAGTAAAAGCTATAAAGATATTTTACTTAAAACTAATATAAAGATAATTTTAGATCTGTAAAATTCAAATTGGTTTTCTTACAAAACAATGATCTGGATTTAATTTCAATCCATTTTTTTTAGACTCAATTTGAATTTAATTTAATTTCAATTATTTAAAATTGATAAAACTTTTTAAAATAGTGTTTTTAGAATATTTTAAATGTATTTTCATGTCTCTCTATACATATTGTAATTTAGAAGAATATGAACACGCTCTCATAAGACGCATGACTCTCAATTTAAATATTTCTTATAATTAATTTAAATATTTTTTCATATAAAACTCAATTCAGCTTAGGCTAAAAAAATATTTAAAATATCATTAAAAAAAGTAAGAACTTCTTAAATATGGAAAATTAAATATTATATTAAAAATATAAAATAGGAAACCTTATAATTATAAAATTTTATTATCTGATTAAAAAATTAAAATTAATAAATTACATAAAAAAGAAAAAATTACACTCCCATTAAAAAATGAAATAGTCACATGGTGACTTCACTTAAATTAAGTTATCATATATGAGAACTTCTATTTAAAAAAATAAAAAATAAAACTGTCTTGATAAAAACGATTTCTATATGTTCATATCCCTTATAGCGATTTGATAATAATAATAATAAAAAAAAAAAACGTATTGTTCATAATGAAATCGTGTACACCTAAAAGACTTATTCATCGTATTCGTAATATTTTTTTAAAAATACCCACGTGAACGGTGCAAAAACCGATATCTGTAGATTTAACATAGAATCTATTCTGAAATTAAAAAAATATGAAAGAAAAAGAAAAAACCAAAGCTGTTCGTAATTTGTGCATCTAAAAAACATTATTCTATAAAAATATAGCATTAATATATAACTCAGAATAATATTGTTAAAATTTGTTATAACATTCGACATGCACATTATAAGTAAATTTGTTAATATTAGAGATATGAAGAAAATATAGATTTTTTTCATTGTATTTCTGTAATTTTGAAGGAAGTTAAGATAAATTTTAAAATTTTCATATACGTTACTTTTAAGTGAGAGAAGAAATTATTAAAATATGTTACTTCGAAATGATTTTAATTTAAATCTGATTACAATGAAGTTATGTCATGCACATGCGACTTATCCTAATATAAAAAATTAATAATAAATATGTCTATTTCAATAATTTTGGCCTGTAATTAAACTATTTTAGTAAAAGTTCTCAAGATATAGTGACAAAGTATAAACAACTACTATTTTAATCATTGTTTTATCTTTTACTACTAATTTGTTTAACTTCGTATTAAACAGCAGGATATAATTTGTGAAAAAATTAGAATTAGAAGAAATAATAGAACTTTTTTTAATAAGACTCTTTGTATTGTAAAAGGGTTTAAATTATATGGATGATAACAAATCGGATCGAATACGGATAATGTCTATCTATTATCTGATTCATCCATTATCCGTATGGATATCCGTTTAAAAAGT